GGGGCAGGAGCAGAGCTAGGACAGAACTAGGCAGGAAATACCACAGTAAAGTCAACAGATTTCAGTGCATCTCATACAAATTTTATCTATATAGTAAGACTCTTTTTTCACCAGATATTCTGATTGCCAGTACGCTTCCAGAACTACAGACTAGTAGTCTGTGGTGAAATCACTCTGCTGAAATAACCTTTTGTGAGGTGAGATTTGAGGAATGAGCCTCTTAAATTGACATCATAATTAAGTAGATTAGTTCTGTCATTGAGAAAATGTTGGGCCAAATGGCATGACACTCAATATGATAAGCCCAGTGTAAAAACTAAGGTCAAAATGCAAGTTTCAGAAAGACTGAACCACCAGTACATTAACTTCAAACACTGGCACAATTTCTCAGTGTTGCAAGACCACTGTTGTATATTTCTGAGATGCTCTGGACTCATAAGTGAAATTGCTGCCTTACAAGAAGATGCACTTAATAGGGTAAAGCAGTGCAATCTCATTTCACTTTATTAGCAAACAACCACAGCCCCATCCTAGTAAGACTGCCTGATGTGAGAAGGCCATATATTTCCAAACCCCTAAGCTCTGATTTTTGTTCTGATGCTAATTTGCCCAATTCATTTGAATATAGGCATGGGATTTGCCAGCTAGGCAAAGGCAGCTCTAGCAGCATCTTTGCAAGCCACTGAAGGACAGCCTGCTGCTTGTGGAAGGAGCAAGGCTTTTGGCCAAGGTCACTAGCTGCAATAACACGAATTACTGAAAATAAATCAAAAAAGCAAGTGCTGTTCACACCTAATTATAGCTGCGGAGGTAAAATATTCCAAGTTCAATTACAACTGATGAGCATGAACAAAATCCCAGCTCCCAAACCATGCAAGCAACAGGGAATCTTGATCATGTGGTATGGTAGTAGATAAGAGCAACGCTTTGCTTCTCTTCTCACTTTGATTTTTGTCATGTGCTGCCATGAAAGGTGGCTGAATGACCTCGAATGTAACCATGGACTTGCACAAAAATGTTGCTGTTATCACTTCTGAGCTAAAACTGGGTTCTTCTAAATGTTTTCCCTTTTGAGGTACAATAATTGCTCTACGATTAGGCAGGAAACTGTACCACCATTATTGCTTTAAAGGAGCCAGTGTTATCAGAAAACAACACATCAGGGCCTGTCCTCACAGGAAGGAAATCATAAGTAATCAGCAGTGCTATAATCCAATTGGTTGCTGCTCCCTTTTCATGGACATGGCAGAGACACAAAAAATGTTTTAGGACTTTTGTTTGTGGCAAGAGGATTTTAGAAGAGCCCTGGCTGCTCTTTGCCTCCCTCCTCATCTTTTACAAACATTTCAGTTTTTCTTCAATAAAGCGCAAAAAAAAAAAAAAAAAAAATAACTTGATAAGTTTGCAGGACCCTTCCATAGAAAGGATGTTTTTCAAACTGGTGCTATCACTTCCCTGAAAGCACCACCAGTTTACACTGGTAAATTGACCAGGAACTCTATGCCTGTTCATCCATATATAAATACACCCACCCACACCTATATATATGCAGTCATCCACCAAGACCAGTGTGAAATACTTCTGTGTTATCTGAGAGCCAGCCTGCTCTCAATGTGTTCTACAAAAGCAAACAGAAATGCTGATTTGGTTAATAATACAGAATCTGACTGGAAATCTCCTCTTTGAAGCAAATTCTACATTAGTGCTGGTTTGTTCTGCATTTGCAGGCTGTGTATTTGGGGATTCACAGTGATTTGCAGAGATGCGGTCTCCTGTTCATCCATCCAAGTTGCCCTGTGTCTTCAGGTCATCTGATTATTTTGTTTATTATAATATACACCAGTCTAGCTGTGAGAGTCAAAGATACAGGTAATTCTGAAAAAGTGCTGACTCTACAGACAGTGTTTGGTTTGATGGCAAATGCATCACACATGGCAACTGTGTTCCCACAGTTGAAGAGGGATGGTCACTCCTCACTCATCACAGTATCAATATGACGCTGAGGTGACCCACAAAAGTGAGGCTTTCACATCACCACTCTGAAGCCTCAGTCCCACAGTGGTCTGGAAAAAACAGCTTTATAGAGTGGTAAAAAAAAAAAAAAAAATCTTCAGGGCCAGCTATGTGAGAAAATGCCAGGATATTAATTGAAGTAGACAAAGCAATGTTATAGAACTAATTGCAGCATCAGCACCCTGAAAGTATCTGTTTGATAAAAGACACCAAATAACAATCTGAACCCTACTGAGAGTTTTGGTGTCTGCTGAGAGCTATATTCAAGATCTTTTCAAAGAAGAGGTTCCTTAATGCTTTAACATTCTATTTAGCAGGACTAGCATCAGAGAGTGAGCTTCTATTTGTTTGTTGCTCTGTTAGAATAGGACCCCAGGACTGGAGTACTGCCTGAGCCTCTTGGACCTGCAACATGCTACTGGCATGTCAAAATTCTCAGCATTACATGCAAAGTTTTACCACTGTTCAAAACAAGTAAGCTGCTTCTGATGATGTGGCAAGGGAGCACAGTTGAAGTTGAAGGCCAGCAGTTCAGAAAGGGTTTCTCCTCTCCCTAGAGAGAGGTGGTGATTTCTAGGTATTAGCCTGATCAGGTGGGCCCAAGCATTTGAGTGGTGGTGAAGGACAAGCTGCCTGTGCAAACAAATGCAGAAGAGCCTTACAGAGGAGTGGTTTTGTAGCTGTTTCTATTCAACTGAGTTTGACCTCAGCACAGTTCTTCTGACAAGGATGGAACAGAAAAGGAAATAAATAATAACAATAATAATAGGTGAATGAGCCATTTTGGAAAGTTGCAATATTTTTCTGTTTTGTGAGTTCAATTAACAAAAGAAAAATGTGAGCCTTGAACTGAGGAAAAAAGCCTGGAAAATCAGATAGCACTGGGGAGAAAGCTCACAGGTTTTTATATTTCTCAGGCCACAGGAATAGAATTATTTGTCTTTACCTTTCCTGCTTATTCTTAACTTGTATTAGATGTGTAAGTACCCAGTGCTTCGTGGTGCCCTAATGCTAGCATGGTGTAAAGTAAGCAAAGGGATGCAGTTGCATCACACTGTCCTTCACATCCTCTTAACTTCCATATGAGAAACTCAGAATGCTAAGAGTTCATAGACATATACTCCAAAGAGCCAAAGAACATCCTCTTCACCAGAGGATGTTTCCACCAAATGTTTCCACATTTGGTCTGATTTTGGGTCGTTGGGTCGTTGTCCTTCAGACCTTAGTGGAAGGCTTTTACTTCAAAGAGCACTGCGAGTACTGAGTTGCTTTTACATCTCAGCTGCTCTCCCTGAGATGACTTTTGTCAGTTTGGTTGTTTGGTTTAGTAGTAATGTTTTTAAATTGAAACCTCTGTGCCCACAAGGCACATAAAACAAGAGGCTTTTAAAAGTCAGAGGATAAATAAAACACAACCTTGAATAAACAACAGGCTTTTGTCCTTATTTCCTTCCCTTCCTTAATGGATGTTGATAAACTATCTGAATTTCTCAGTGTATTAATGCCAGAATGACAGTAATAGGAAGCCACAACCTCACAATAGCAATGATTTGACCAAATCTTTAGCTTTTGGACAAGCAATTATTTCATTCAAGATTTTCTGTAGGTTAGTGTGGTCTTTCCAGGTTGCTCCGTTCTCTACCCATCACTGACTATTTAGTAGCATACATTTATCAAAGAAAACTGCTAGGCTCACTCTGGGCTGATATATTTTATGGAAAAATAGTATGTTTGACCAGGTAAGCACTTACACGTTCTGCTCCATTACTGATCTTATACTCTCAGTGCTATCAGCAAATAATGCTCCTTATTGTCTGCATCAAAACATTTTTTGTCTGTAAGGCTGATCAACAGAAGTACTAATAGATGTGGGTTTGGGGTTTCTTGTTTTTTGTTTTTTTTTTTGCTATGCAGTGCACCAAAAAGTAAAGACGTTCTTCTCAGGGCCTAGGAGCATACATACTTCTGTGAAAAACAAGGGAACTTGGAGGAGCACTCTCAGGAGATATCATCTATGCCTTACATGGAATACCACATCAAGCGTAGGCTGTGTCACTCCTCCTGTCATCAAGCTCTACAGGTCTGATTACTGTGCATAGCAATTTATGTATTTCTATTTGTTAATCATTGAAGAAGCCTGGGAATTACTAGATGGAGGAGGCTGGAATTTCTTACCTGCATTTCTGTCCCTCTTTTTATGATTATGTGGATGAGGATAGAAAATTCCCCTTTCCTGGGAACGTACAGACCTACAGCTATGGTGCCTTCAGCTTCTGCATGCCAGGTGCAAGATGCGTTGTGCCAGCAGAGCGTGGCTCCAGCACTAACATAGAAGCTGCTGATGCTAAACAAATTGCAAAACCTGTACTTATCTGTGAAAGAAGGTAACAAGAGCCACTAGTGTAGAAGCTTCTTTCAGTGTCTCACTGGCAGTGTGATCAGCAAGGCATCATTTTCTGTATCTGCTTTTTGTGTCTTCCATCCTGCGCCTGCCACAGTCATACCCAACCCCTCCTTTGGTAGTGCAGGAATTACAATGTCAGTGAAAATCAAGCTTGTACATTAAGGCGATGAGAAAACAAGATCAGCAGAGAAATTCCCTTCAAGATGTTCATATGCCTCCTTTCTGCTGGAGTAGATTGGTGCCTGTATCCAGGATTTCTGCTTTTCATAGCTATCATCTGTGAGTTCACCTTCCCATTTGTTTTCTAGGCTGTATACCAGGGCAAGTCAGAACAAACTGATCACCCACCCAAACTTTTGTTTTGAGAACATTCCCAGAGCAAGTCACACCCAATTCTTTTTTTTTTTTTTGAAGGTCTCTAAACAAAACAGGCTATGGTTGATAACATAAATGCACAGAGGCGGACGCACCACTGAACATGCCCAGAAAGAGGCAGCAAGCAAAACACATTTGCAGAAAAATACAACTTTGGGCAAGTCAGGACACAGGCAGCATTCATTTTGCACGTCCATGCACTTAATGTTTATTGCTTTGGCTGTATAACAGAAAAATTGTTTATCCTCTTTATTGATCTGTTCACTTCTGCTTATTTCACGGCATGTATAACTTTCAACCAAAGTAATAAAGCAGGCCAATTAACAATAATAATAATAATAGTAATAGCATTAAAATATTACAAGCAAAATTACTACGTATCCAGGAATGAAAAGACAGAATTCAAAGGCAAGTGAAAAGCGTAATATCTTGTTATGAGAGGAGCAGATGAGCACTGTACTAAAAAGCAGTAATATCTGCCCAGCCCTTTGGATTTGAGTCCTTTCCTCACATGGTAAAATAAATAAATCAGACTTTACATCATGAGAAACTCAGTTTCTGAGCATCCGTGTTCAGTGGAGTATGGATTCCAACATAAAAAGGAAAATAGTAGAGGTTTATTGAAATGTGAGTTTCTAGAATTAAAAGAGAAATAACTCATTTTTTTTACATAAAAGAAAAGCTCAAAAAAAGAGATTCCTATCCTAAGCTGAATATATATTTCAATTGTGAAAGTTCATAACTGTGAATTGTGAAGTTTTGATAAAAATATTTTTAAAAAAATATTAAATGAAATGTTGGGAGTGACACCTCAAATGTCAGAAATCTTCAATCATCCACTGCTTTCTGAATTCCCATGCTTATCGTGGCAAAGTAGCAGTAGGCTGAGGGAACGAGTCATTCCTGAATGTTGGGGACCCATTCAGAACCAAAAGTCTGGACTTGGACCCTCTCAGTTCCCCATCTTTTCTTTGCTCAGAAAGGCTGTGGATGCCCCATCCCTGGTGGCATTCAGGGCCAGGCTGGATGTAGCTCTGGACAACCTGGGTTAGTGGTTGGCAACCCCGCACATAGTAGGGGGTAGAAACTAGATCATCTTTGAGGTCTTTTCAGCCCAGGCCATTCTTCGATGATTCTATGATTCTTTTTGCTCCCTATGCACATTCTGGACTTTACAGGGTGCCCTGAGTTCTTCCCTGGGTGCTAATAGTCCAGAGTGTGACAAGGGATCAGGTTGCCTACAAGCAAATCTGGCTGAGTTTTGATGAATTCTCTTAGTTATAATGATGGGGAGAAAAATATTGTTCGTGGGCTACATAAACAATTTTAATTGGCTCAGCAGCCCGAAATGTGCTTTTTTTGTTTGACTGCCAAGGTTGCTTTCTCTCTTTCTAATTATGTTTCTCTTCAGCTTTCAGCAAAAACAGGAAGTAAGACATTCATTACTTGAATGACAAATTTTCAACAAACCAACATTTCAACATCCATTGTGTAATTTCCGACCCAGAGCCAGCTAGGAGCTAAGTGCCTTTAGAAATGTATGTCTCCTCTTACAAGGGTCTTATTGGCCCCATGTGCTGCTAAATAATAGCATGCTACATTTGTGCTTCTGAAACATGGTCCAGAGGCCTTTCCCAATGGGAACTGGAGATAGATACACCCCAGTGTATGCCTGATTTTGATTTCCTCTGCCGTGAATGTCTTACTAGGGTCTGTCTGCTGCCTTGGTTCTGCAGGACCCTCAGGATGTCTGGGATTATCCAAGTCTTGTACCTTGTCACAGGCTTAAATGGTGAATGAAAATCTGCTCTCATACTGTAGTGACTTTCTAGATTTATATACCAAGCCCATCATTTTCTGTAGATCCCTTTTCTGTATTTCACCTCTGGTTACTGAAACTACCAGCCTCTGTAACAAAACATTTCACTAACTCTGCAGGACATCTTTGGAGCCTTTTACTTTCCCTCTCAGACTGGCTGACTGAGCAAGCAATACAAGCATCCAGGTGATGCTTGCATTCATGGCCATCTCTTGTATTCTCTCCCATACACGGTAGCAGGTTTCTTCTTCCAACAAAGACATCTGGTAGCTCAAATTTATAAAAGCAGTAGGTGTATACCAAGGTTGTGTCTTTATCTACTCCTAGTGCAAGAGCTGAAGAGGGAGGGAAGTCATTAGAGCAGCTAGCCATGTGTCAGACAGCCATCAGCTCTTTTTAGCCATCACCAAAGTTCATTGCCCTCGCAGTCTATTCAGATCAGCTCTTCGTGTTCTCAAGAGAAGTTTAATAAAAAAGCATTTGCAACTTGAAAGAAATGACCATCCAGATTGGCGTACATTTGGCACAAAACAAGATGTCTTCAAAATTGGGGTTATAGAAGCAGCTTTTCTTCAGCAAACTCTTGGACATGGACACTACATTTACCTAAGATATCTGAAAGTTAGACTGGCAAGGCTCCAGAAACACTGAAGATAGTCTCCTTTCTGTTACATGAAAATACGGTGGTCCCAAGATACAGCACCAGCAAAACAGGACTAGACTGAGGATTGTATGTATTTCCTTTTTACATCTCTATTTCTTTAGTCCTGATTATGATTTTAAGCTCTGTTGAGTTTGTTTGTTTTTTTTTTTTAAAACAAGTCTTCATTTGATTTTTTTTAATTTTTTTTCCCCTGAGATGCCCAGCCTTTTTCAGTTTCAGGGCACACTGTCATATAGCTGCTGTGTACAGTTTCACTGTTTGAGTGTGGAGAAAAAGCTCTTACTCCTCTTGTTCAGACAGCTGAGCTGTAACTGGCAAAGCAAGCAATAGGTATATGCTACATTGTGGGAGTGAATGAGAATGCCCTTTAAATTACCTATAAAACCCTTTGATTCAAACTGCTGATGTTGCCATGGGCAATTTGCTAAGCGTATTGATCATCTTCTGTTTAAATTAAAGTTTGATGTCCTGGAACAGGCTATTCAGCACAGAGAGCTAATGGGATGGGATGAGATAGGGGTAGTGAGAGAAATACATGCACACGGGGGAAATGGACTGTGGTCAAAGGAGAAAAAAAGGGGGTTATGTACTGAATAGGTTCCATGGGTCAGTTAGCAATAAATATTGTGGTGATAAAAGAGTCCAGCATGGATATTGAAGGAAAAGATTTTTGGTGTGTAATTAAAGGAAAAAGAGCAGTTTGACAGAAACCTAAAATTTCAGAAAAAGAAAATGAAGCAGTTAAGAAATATTATAAATGTGTGCATACAAACTTAATTTCTGCCAGAAATGTAAAATCTCCCAAACGTGTAATGAATTGGCTTACATATGAGCCATATCATCACTAAGCCAACATGGGCGAAAGCTGATGGGCCTCAGGTAAATGTTGACCAAGAGAAGAAATAGCTCAGAGGGAGGTTATCTCTAATAGCTTCCTTCTGGCCATGTGTATGTCTACTCCTCTGTCTATCAACCATGCAATCATTTGAGCTCAAACAAAATTAAAACTTTAGAAGGAAGAAAAATGAGGTTTTCATGAAGAATGATATCTGCTTTGCTGGAATAATGCCTAGCAGCACCAAGGTTTGTTTGTTTGTTTTTTCCCTTGAGGTAGAGAAAAGGAAAAGTGACTTAGAGAAATAAGATGATGAAATATTAAACCTGATTATGTTTGCCAATCATATTTATAGCACATGAATGAGATATCCGGGCAAGAAAAGCAAAATGCACATTGAACTGGTCAGATAGCTACAGGATTATGAATTTTGCCCAGCTCAGCATCAATTTAATTAGTTACGGAAGCAAACAGAAATTAGTCAGACAGAAGTCTGATAAAGTGTATTGAACTAGAGAAGATCTTCAGAGAATGGCAAGAGACCTCTCCTTAGTGATTAATTAGTTCAGGTTTTCTGGGGCTTCTTTTTAGTGTTTTAGTGTGTGAATGTAAATTTCTTTGCAGAAGAGTAGCAAGGAGCTCTTACAAAACTCGTGGATGCAGTTGTCTTTGAGCTTTGGGTTAGAACTTTGAGTTTTAAGGGGAGTGTGGATTATGAGGCTATGGTGTGGACCTGCTCCAAGCAATAGAAAGTTAAGGTCAAAAATGTTGACAGTATCGACTGATACTGGTATCTCCTTTGGGAGCAATTAGTAACGGTGACTCCAGCAGGGCTTCCTATTTAAAACCAATATGAGAAGTATCTAGGTGTCTCATTTCCATAATTTCTAAACAGAAATGAATGTATAGATAGTATTGGTTAGTGGATAAGCCCATCCACCTGGCACCAATTACAGCACATCTTTGCAGCTTTATTTTGTTATGGGGTGGAGATCTTGTTCCTCTGTGCTAAAAGCCAATGAGGGAGAACTGTAGGCTTGTGTTTGCCTTGCATATGCAAGTGAAGTGAAATTGAAAGTGATGAAGCCCTCAAGCTGTATGTCTATAGTCAGATCCAGAGCTTCCCCTAGGAAAGAAGAAAACAAAGGTAATGACTGCTTCTATAGAATGCTGGGTAGTAAGAGAGGCTTTGGAACACAGTTGCACGTTCGTGATTCAAAAGAATATTTAAGAATTTCTGGATAACTTTCAACTGAAGAGGAGTTAGTCCTGACAAGTTAGTCAAGACACTATATTTACTAGTATTTATTTGTAGATGTGATCTTAGTTCCCCCCTACTGTTGGCAGAGCTTCATATTTAGAATAAAGTGGAAAGAACTGTAATTGAGTTGCACCACTGCAGGGTTCTGCAGAGCTTCTATAGATTGGCTTTCTTCTCAGGGAAGTTATCCATACCAAAATCATTCCTCTTCAGGATCTCACTGTGGGCAAAATCCTCTGCACCCCTCTAGACTGGGTTGAAAAGCATCCTGAGAATCTTAAATGTAGTCAGACTACTGACCAAGATTTCAACCAGATTTGCACTATCAAAGCAGAATTGAGGATGTATATTCTGTGTTCACACTGTATTTCAACACGTAAAATTTTTGTGGGAAGACTAATAATGTGAAATTCAAGGTCAGCACGAGACTTACAGCCCTGAATGCTTGTGGTTAAATGTTAGGCAAGTTTCTATGCTGTACTAATGTCTTTGTACTGGCTGATCCTCCTTCAGTCACAGAAAGAAGCAGGTACCACTCCTGAATCTGAAGGAACAAAGGCACAGATGTTGCTCTGTTCCAATCTCAGTAGCCGTACTTACAGACTTGATTACAACACGCTGGAGAGTTGTAGTGAACCCATAGCCCTAGGAAAAGCATGTGGAAGAAAAGGCTGAAGAACAGGCAAGGAAACCCAGATACCAACATCTGAAAAGCAAAGTTTGGACTATACATCATTGAAATGTGGTTTTGTAATCTCTGTTGCATTTTATGCTGTTACAGGATCCAAGCTTCCCTTTGATGTATTTTAATCAAGGTCATGCTTGGTGGCAGAGAGACGTCTCTCCCTCTCCCAGCCATTCTCAGGCTTCTTGCATAAAGAGAGTGGCTTAGAATGGCTTGTGTTGTGAAGAAAGCATTCTTACTTTTAAATGAAGGGAAATGCCTTTTGTCTGACCATGATACTTACGTTACAGCAAGCAAGGAGTCCCATGCTAAATTTCACCTGGCTTGTAAAGCTACAAGAACACAAGGAGGGACAAAACTCTTGGGAGAAAAGATGTGAAGACTTGTGGCAATAGCAACGTCCTACCATCCTTCACTCACAGTGGGGTCACAAAGAGGCAGGGGGGTTTCCAGAGCATGAAGGGAAAGCATGGTGGAAACAAGCAGCCCAAGCTGCTGGCTACCACACCACACAAAGAAGCGTAGCTCTGGTACCCAGCAAGCAGTGGTGCCCAGGAAGAGCTATCACAGGAAACCATCTGTACCGGGCAGTGAGGGAGGCACCCCGTGCTGCAGGCTGCAGGAAGGCAGCTCCACAGGAAGTTGGGCCAGGCCAGCTGCCTCTGCAAACATTTATTTCTCTCCCTGACAGTCTTCTCCTTGACGCTCTCCATAAATGACATGGGGAGGAAGTAAGTTGTCAATTGAAAATTGCCGCCTATTATTAGCTGCGGAATGCGAAGTGCTTTAGTTAAGAAACCAATGTGTAACAGATTTGCATTTATTTCCTGTAACTGTAGTTAACAGGAAATTTATTTGAAATAGAAATAATTAGAAAACCAGTGTGACCCTTTCCTGAGAAATGTAATTTTTGACAGAAAATCATGCTCGGTGTTTTTTGAAATCTAAAAAACACAAGAGGTTTGAAAGGAAGAGTGCAGAGAATTGGTCAGAAAAATAAATTAGTGGACAAAGTCTGGTAGAAATTTTAAATAAGTCATGGAAATTAGTGGTGCAGAATGCACTTTTAGAATCATGTTAGAGAAAGGAAAGCCGACTCCTCCCTTCAAATTTGAATGATGTGCTTTTCATGGCTTAATTATGACTGATGTCTGCTAATTTGACCAGAGCCACAGGGCAGTGGGAAGAAAACACAGGGAATGTGTTGAAATTGAGATTGCAAACTATCACATTGTTTGTAATTATTACTTCCCCATCCCAGGAGGTGTTCAAAGCCAGGTTGGATGGGGCCCTGGGCAGCCTGGTCTAGTGTTACATATGGAGGTTGGTGGCCCTGCCGGTGGCAGGGGTGTTCGAGCTTCATGTTCTTTCAACCCAGGCTATTATTGATTCTGTTATGATTATTATTAGGAGATTTCTTCCACTTCAGAAATATTCTTCTGCCCCAGGCCACAGATATGTAACTATTATAATTTCTTTTTAGTAAGATAACCAAAAGACTTTTAGAATATTCCTTGTGTCTACATTAAACGCTTGGGCTGACTCAGCCTTGTCAGGTAGAGGTATAAAGAGGCATGATGCCTGATCAACACAGCAGCGTTGGCAAAAGCTCCTAGCACAGAATAATTTATACCAGCGGAATTGTACTTTTGCCAACACAGCATGTTTCATCCAAGTAAGGCTGGAATAAACTCTTCCAGAAGAAGCTTAAGGTTTAAGGTACAGCTACGAAATCACGTATTTTGCTAGTAGGATATAATAGCTTGGCAAACTATTCCCCACTTAGGTCTGTCCCAAGTCTCCTACTCAGCAGGTAGCAAGGAAAACAGGAAACCAGACTTCAAGAAGGCAGCAAACAAACCTCTGAGTCTAAAAGGGAATCTTTAGAAGCTGTGATCCCTCCAGCAAACAGGAACAGTCGGTGTCTTCCTGCCAAGCTGCTGATCTGCAACAGCACTGACAGCCTCGCAGGCTGCTCAATAGCTGCAGAAGAGGGAGAAATTGTGAAATAGGCTCAATCGGTGCCGAAATGAGGAAGGAAATGCTAAATGCTAAATGATTTAATTTTCTAAGTTCACTTTGTTCCCTACAGATAGACCTAGAATCGGAGCTGATTACAGTGCCTTGTTTTGATTAACAGACAGAGAGGGAGAGAGATCTGAGGCAAAGATACTTCTATCAGTTTCAAAGTGTTTCCACATCTTGTAATTCATTTTCATAGAGGGGTCAGAAATTCAAAGGATGTTTATCTTTCATGCTTTTTAGCTTTAAAAAAAAAAAAAAAAAATTCTTAGTGATGCTAGTTTAAATCTAGCTCACTCTACTGACCTTACATTTCTTATACTTCAGTGGAATTATTCCAGATTTACAGCAGTGTGAGTAGGTATGCTTTACCCCATGCTAAATGAATTTACAAGCTTTAAGCAGTCTATACATGCTGACTCAACTTCTTTGGGAGCTAGATAAAACTTATTGGTGATAAATGATTTCAGTTGTGTTTCAGCTTTACATACTCCATCAGGTGGGTTTACTGCGTAATGCCACCAGAATTTGGAAGTTAATGGGCCTACTGCAGTCCCAGGTGCACCCTGGGATGCTGTTGAGATCTTGGTCCCACAGACCATCACTCCTTCTGTGGTGCCTGACGAATTCAAGCACCTCTGTACTGCTGCAGGAGATTAAAGCAACATTTCTTTTGTACTACCCAGTAATCTTTATGCTCGGTGGTAAAGTTAATGTACAGGTTTGTCATTCAACTCATTTCACGCAGGCTGCCAAAGAGCCTTCAGAGCACAGTGAGGTCCTGCTACTGCCAGCCTCAAGCAGATCTGAGCCAGTGTTCTGGAGGTAAAAGAACTACATGCCCATTTGTTTCTCAGTTTCAGAGAGGCTGAAATGGAGAAAACAATCACTGAAGAGCAAAGGCAGTCACAATCACTTCTAAATGAATCATTTAAAAGCACCTAGGATTCCTGACGCCCAGTCCTGTCGTGACTGCTAGGAAGCATCTACACCCCCTGAAGTCTCTAATTCTTGGGAACTGCAACTCTCTTGAGGCTTGGAAAAAAGGGAAAGAGGAGAAATGTGTGTTAGACAGCTCTGTCCTTTAGTGAGTCTGTTGCTTTTAAAAACGAATGAAGACAGGCTTACGGAGCCTATTAGTTGTTCCACATACACATTCATTGGGATGAGAATTAGTTTCTGGCCAGCGCACAGCCACTGGGTGATACAAAGGAAAGACTCCTTTAATCTTCTGTGGCAGTACAGCGGTGTCCAGGTTTGTCAGTAGCGGCAGGAGAGTGATGGCCCTGGTGCTGACAGACTTCTAATTGGGTACTAGAGGGGACCAGCAGAAAGCAGCTATAAAGGCTGTGTTTGTGCCAAATGTGTGGCCAATATAAAGAGAGATCCATAGAGGAATGGAGAGGGAGAATGTGGCGGTACTGCAGTGCTGGATGCTGTCCTAGCCCAGCAGGACTCACGCTTCCCAGCCAGCGCTTTGATGGCACTGAGGCTACCAGCAGCTGTGGAGAGCTGCAGCAGTGAGGTCTGGCTGGAGTCAGCAGCACTCAGAGCCGGATGGCCTGGCTGCTCTGCAGTGGAGGGATCTCTCTGTCCTGGCAGTGGGACTCGTGTCACAAATTGGCTAGGAGATAGGAGGCACAGAGCCTGCAAAGATTAGAAAGCGAATATACACTGTGGCTTTGTGTGCTGGTAGTCCGTTTCCCTCAATCTGCACTATGTGCTCCCAGTACTGCGCAATGCCCTGTTGGAGTCTGGCATCCTGTGGTCATCAGCAATGTCTTCATTGGCCACTGCTTCCCCAAAGACACTGTGAAGCAGTGGCAGAGCTTTTGGAACCCTTTGGATCCCTGGATAACATAAGTGGCTTCCTAATACTATTTTCACTTCCGTATTAACGGAAGATGCCAAGTGATTCCACTCTGAGACCTTGATGAAACTCACCTGAGCTAACATGTCACTTGAGGCTAGCTGATACGCATGTGACATGCATGTATTTACCACACACTTGTGTAACTCTGCCTGGCCAGCTCCAGAACTGAGTGAATGGGAATAGGAAATGGGGAACTGAAACCACAGTTCAACCTGAATATGGTCAGACCCTGTGGCTGTGGAATGAAATGCCTGATCTAAATGTAAGTAAAGGCTGAAGAACTCACTGCTCGAAATGCCTGGAAGCAGAACTGGCAGGATGGGATGGGCACCCTATCCCAGCTAGAGCCTCTGATAGAGGATGAAATAAGAAGAGAGACTGAATGATGATAATTTGAGCAGATTATATCAGTAAGGAGACTGAATGTCCCAAATGGGCTAAGAAACTGGAAGGTAAAGCTCTGGGAAACGGTGCAGTTAGGAGGAAAATGTCTGTTGCTCTTCTGGGCTTGTTTCAAAACTGAGAGTGGCCTTAACTGTGCTTCCTGAGTCTCCTAGCCAGTCAGCATGAGGTCCAGGTAGAACTTCTGTTGGTGACAGCAGAGAGGCAAATGTCAGCATCTGATGGAGGTGTCCAGCAGAGGTAGAAACAAACCTTTAGCAAACTTCTCAGCATCCCAGCTCTCCTCCCTTGGCACACATATGTCCTCTCCACAGCCTGCAGTGAGGGGAGGCACTGGGAATCCCTGTAAGGGTGCCCTTGGGATGGGAAAGACCCTTCAGGGCTGTAGTCAGTGCACAGGCCAGTGAGGAGAGCAACAGAGGGCATCCTACATCAGCATTCCCATGGCTGTACCCTGAAGGATTGTGCTAGAATAATTTCAACCCTCATGGGAAGTCACCAGCTCTAAGGGCCAGGTTGTGTCAGGACTGATGAATATACTGACAAGCAGAGGAGTTTGGTGGGTCCACTGTAAACAAGAGATGCAGTGGCAGCACAGAGAGATACCAGTTGGGCCACAACCAACTCTGTTTTCTCATTTAAATGATGCAGACTTATCTGCACTGAGAGGAAGCCAGGCAATTGGTGCCCATAGCACTTAGAGGCAGCGAATAATTTGGCCAGTGGTGGAGTGCAGCATGTTTGACTAGCATCTGTGATAGCTGGAAATTTACCCATCCAATTTTCTCCTCTACCCCAGCCACAAAGGGAGATCACTCCAATTATTTTTCAGACAGAATTAAGGCTGATGTTTACCATTATCTCCCTGGTTACCTTCTTCTCATGACTATATTATGCGACATAATTGCAGAGCCTCCTCAGCTCACTGGGGCTGTTATTAAAGGCACTCTGCTTCTTTTTCCCAAGGTCAAGGTTAATAATTAGGTGGCCAGTATGCTTGCAATGGAGCCTTGTCATGTAAAAAAGACAAGCAACTCAAAGGCTGCATCAGACATTCCTGAGTCCAAGAGGAAATTCCTGCTACAGGTTACAAGGTCTGCTGAAGGTGGCTGGGTGAAGTGGGGTAAATTAGTGAATAAGCAGTGCTCCTGCACACTGGTCCACAGGTAAAGCTTGGTTAGGTTCATGGTATAAAGCACACTGTATGACTTTTTATAGGATACATGACAATGCACCTGGTGAGATCTGAAGCTGCAGCTTCTGGAATGAGGAGATGAACTCAGTACAATTTTTGTTTGAGCTGGTGTAACAAGAATGCATTGAGCTGTTATTCTTCTGGACTTTTTTCCAAAAATTGATGATACTTGTACTGTAAGTGTAAGAATATTATGCAGTCCTTAGCCCGTGTATTTTGGGAGTATGCATGTGCTATCTGTGTTAAGGGAGGTGGTGGAGCTGCTGTCCCTGGAGGTGTTCAAGAAGCATGTAGATGTGGCACTGAGGAACGTCGCTCAGTGGTCACAGCGGTGATGGGTTGGACCAGATTATCCTAATAGTCTTTTCAACCTTAATGATTCTGTGATTCATTGTGGAGCAGGGAATACCAGACCAGCTCATCAGAACTACCTCCCATTGCATTTGTTTTGGGGAGACTGACCCATCGCACATTGAATCCCCAGAACTAATTAAAAGCAGAAATGGCATTGCATAGGGGAGCAGCAAGACCGGTGTATTCCTGGAATGATGTTAGTCTTCCTTGTGTAACACCAAGCTACTACATTTACCTGGTGACCCTCAGATAACATGAAATATGCATCAGCTAGACCAGTGGTAATCTTGAAAGGCTACCTTTGTCTAGAAAACAGCTTGGAATGCTGCAAAACACTAAGGAATATAATTTACAAGTCTGTATGTGTCTCTCTGTGTGTTTACAAATACATACACACACACAGAAATGCATAATTATATACACATCATAAATACAGATATAAATATATATACATAGACAGGGAAGCCTGAGCAGAAGTTTCTGGTTGGTCTGTGACTCCCTGTGAAATTTCCTCTGAGGGCATTTCTTTCCCAGTCATTGCTTATTTTTTAAAAGGAAAGCATTCATAGGTCAGACTCAAAGCTTCTGCAGGTTAATATGTGTATTTCTTCTGGCATGTATGGACTTCGGATGAGATATTTAAGTCTGAAATAAAAGCTAGTATGGTGACGCTGGGGTGACTTATATGCATAATAAGCACAGAGGAGAGTACTTAGCACAGAAAAGGTGCAAATTGCTTGGAAGAACTATACTGTAGAGCAGTAGCCTTATGGAAAAAATGACATGGTAATTGGATCTGGCTGGTGTACGAGGCAGCAAGGGCTTGATGGGAGCAAGGGAAATCAGTAGCAGAAAAGAGAGGAAATGGGGAAGGGGAAACCTTTTGCATTTCTTCAGTGAAGCATCCCTTCATCTGACTGCCTGTAACTTACTTGTCATCATATGTGCTGTGACCTGCAGTCAGAGATTTCTCTCAGCTGCTTTTTCATCTTAATTGCTTGCTGAAGAACGTAAGGCACAACAAAACAACAACTTGTTATTGCTCAAACTTCTTTATGCACCAGGTTTCTTATCTGAAAGTCTGGACCTCACAGTCCCAGGGCAAACCTCACTCTCGCTGTGGTTTTTATTGTTCTGGTATGTTTTCTTCCAGTTCAAAGGAAAGGTTAACCTGCCAAAAGAAAAGTGTGTTCTTATCCCAGAGTCTTTAAAGTCCTCTGAATCACACTTTGCTAAGCCTCCAAAGACTTTAAGGTTTGTTCCTGTGGTCATCACTCAAGAAGAACTCTTTATCTTTACTTTCACCACTTCCATCCTCAGGAAACTTAGAAAATATGCTAGGTAGCTGGGACAGTGGTAGGAGCTTTTGTTAGGAAGAAAACTAGCACTTGTGGAGATAGGATGTATAACAGAAATTATTGTCTAAAAAAGAGATTTCCAGGTCTATGAAAAAGCAAAAAAGCAAGAAAACCCCAACATATTTTTTTTCTTTTAGTGATGTGATGTTTGCATGCCTATAATATTATACCTTGTCAATATGGTGCACTATTGATATGACACTGATCCTCCAGAGATGTCAAACATTGTCAGAAGTAGCTGATTTCTACTGAAGCATTCTGTATTCACCAGGGAGACCAGAGATTGGCGAACATGATCACCTCCTAACCTGTTGCACAGTGTCAACATCATGTCAGAAAAACCCGAAACAAAGCAACAGATGTCCTTTTTTTTTTTTTTTTTTTTTTTTTTTTTTTTTCCTTAAACCCAAGGATTTGGCACAGCAAAGCCTCAGTTCAGTGAGTAGTGGTGGGAAGCAGGTTTTCCATTTCCCAAACAGGTGAACCAAGTGGGGAATCAGGCAGAGCAATGATTTTTTTCTAACACTGTACGGTGGGGCCATGGCAGACAATAACCCAAAATACAGAAATCTGTATTTCTTTTTCTCTGCCAGACATTGCATTAATCAATCAACTTCAGCCATGGTCTTGACATCACTATCCTATAGAAGATACAGAAAATACAGGCCGCTGGCACTGAGATCTAATTCTCATGTCTATGCGGAAACTTAAATCCTCATAAAGTACATTTTAGGCAAAAAAATGTTACCAGCTATGAAAGATAGCAAAGTTAATCTTCCCTATACACAAACTTCTCTAAATGAGAGAGACCTGAAATTATTCAGTGTTATCCATAAGCTCTAGAGAGAAGAAAGCTAGGATATACTAAAGAAGTACATGCAGGAGCAGAGATCCTGAGACTCTATCAAATAAGCAGAGTTCCAAAACAAAGCTGAAAATACTCAGTCCAGGCTCTTTGGAAATGGGTGCCTTTTGCTATTTCTTGAGATGACACCACTCATAGAAACATTATAGTTTTAGATGGAATGTTCTTATTGAAAAATACAGAGAAAAGTCCAGCCTGATTCTTCTAAGTACTGAATGCTTAACACAGAAGCACTGGTTTTGATCTTAGCTGTGCTCCAATAATTAGTTCATAGTAGGATCTACATTACTAAAATTTAATTGAAACCAACAGTCATCCCTCATGATTTTTAATCCGTCAGCAAACACAAAAAGCTGTACTAGAAAATGCTGGAAAATACAGCCTCACAGAGAAAGGGACAATGGAAAGAAAAGCCCTCACTAAAAATAGTACCAGTCTTTTTGTCCCTGTGCAGGAAATGTAGGCACCACAAATTCTAGCCCAGAATAATGCTTTGTCTTTGTGAACATTATTCAGCAGGAGGCAAAAGTAAATCAATGACCGATTCTACTGAAGGAAGTAAACATTTACAGATGGGAAAATTGAGGCACAAAGATATTAAGGGACTTGCCCGAGATGAAAAAGAGAATCCGCTCTTCACCACTGCTCTCATCTGTTGCTCTGAGACATGAGATCCTTGGGTGGGCATGCCAAAGTTCACTGTCCAGAGTGAGAGCCTATTAAATACAAACCCAGTAAAGGAAAATTGCAATGTCTCCCCCAAAAGTGTATGCTTTTGATCCCCTAAGGTGCTAGAAGAGATGGCTCTTGCCGCTTTTTCACAGTGAATCCAGTGAAAATGGACAGCCAAAGGCAGCTCAGAAACCTGGAGAAAAGGTTCTTGAGAAATTTCATTCAGGAAAACCCAAGAGCAGTTTAACTTGGTGCTCCCCATCAGGACAGGACACTGGCTCCTGATGTACAGGGCCAAGCATTGCCTGGTGCCTTTGCAGTGCAGTTTACTCAAGATCTGTAACTTTGATCCCCTTTGCTCTTTGCTTAAGCAGATTGAGCTCCACCACTGTCCCACTAAGCCTGGTGGAGCAGCAATCAGGAGATTGATTGATTTATTTGCTCCTACTAGCTCTCCCCATACTGTTTTGCCTCTCAGAGGAAAGAGAGAAAACAAGAAATAACTTTGTGATTGTTGTTACAGCTCTTTACACTGGGAGATAGGTGGTGTCTGTGGGAATATGTGATGATGCTAGCACCATCATGAGGATTACATTTAAGGAGTTGGCTTTTCTAAGAAGTTTGTTCTGGGTCTGAAATGTGTCAACATCTCTATTTTTGTCCCTCACCAAAACAGGTGACTGAGCTGACCTCTTTCACATAGACAGAGGTCTTAAGATGTTTATTTCCTGTAAATTTTGGAAAAGTACATAGAAGAGAGGGAGCATGCCAAAAGAGCTACAGCTCTTCTGTAGCACAGCTGTGTCCTCTGAAAGCAGAAAATGCACCTGGCCTTAAGGAATTGCTCACGTTATCCCATCAGGAGCCGTTCAGAGTATGATTACCCCAGTAGTTAGGGAAATTGTGACTCAGAGTTTATACTTTATTAAACCTTGAGACATGGGGCTGGGAGAAATCTAGCTCAGAAGTGCTTTTTTCTTTTCTTCCTCCTCTCTCACCCCCAACACGTTTGAAGTTCTTATGGCTGTTTTTGATACACCTTTAAAGCCAACTAATATAAGAAACGAAATGTTCATCATGCAGTCCATGGAACCTGGTGAAAGAGCTGTACCATGACGGGAACATTTGGTTGTGAGAGCGGCTGCTATGCTGTAACAGCTTAAAGAATAAGAAAGATGTATTCTAATGACCAGTGATGGCTCTAAAGCGTTGCGAGAACTCAGTTCAAAGCCCTTGAAATGAATAACAGTCCTTCTGCTGACGTTACTAATCTTTGGATCGGGCTCATTAATGTATTTCAGATATTATAACCCCGGTACCAAAAAGATGAAAAAATTAAAATGTACTCATAAAAATAGACATCAAATGTATTTCTGTTCTGGGAATTAATATAGAAGCTAAATGCTTCTGCTAGCACTTTACTGCTGATCTTTTCTTACTGTTTCTGAAGGAATTAGTGGGGCGAGCAGCTCATTTCAGCCAGGGCTCTGCCTCCAGCAGCTACGGGCATCTCATGCCACACAGTCTGGGAAAATGCTATAACCACTGTAATAGTTTTCACTCTGGCCCTGTAAATCAGTTCTTTCCGGGACACGCTGTGCTGATGGAGAGGAGGGGGAGGAAGGATGGGAGTGGAAATAGAGACATTCAGGCAGGAGTTTCCCATCTTTAGCTTCCGTGTGATTCATTATGGATCAATACTGTACTCTCGAGCTTTTATAGCTCATTAACACCAAGCAGCGTCAAGATATAAATTTGTTATAGTGCTTACCGAGAACTCGGGGGCATCTGGAAGCAGACACCAGCGACCAGTGACTCTGGAACACAACGGGATACAAGGGAAGCACAGTTTAGTTGACCGATTTGTACTCTAGGTAGAAAACAGCGCTCGAGTTCTGACCCAGCGCCCGATTTCCAGGTGCCGTAGCGAAACGTGCCTGGTGTGGGCATGTGCGTGTGTAGGGACTGGAGAGGACGAGGAGAGGGAGCGTGACGGCCGCTGTGATTCCGCGTGGGGCCGGGGTGCCGACAGCTCGGAGCCGGTCGAGGTTTCCCTCAGCCCTTTCGGGTCGCGCACCTCCCCGGGAGCCCCGAGCAGCGGTGCGGTGCTGCTCCGTGACGTCGCGATGTGAAAACGCAGCGTCAGCTCGCAGCCCCGGTTGCGGGGAGCCCGAGCTCTGTCTCTTTAAGAAGCCGAGCGAGTCGTGATGCCGCTGTTTGTGTTGCTAAACCCCCAGGAGTCCAGTTAAGAAACGGGCAGCTGTCTCTTTAAGCGTGATTTCCTTCTATTGTATTTGAATCGTGATCAGGAAAAAGGAAATGAAACCGGAGAGCCGGGGCCGCGCCGCGCAGCACTAATAGCGATGCCGAGCTCCCCGGCCGCAGCACCCGCCCGGCTCCGCGGGGCGAGCTGAGAGCCGCGGCCGGGCAGGCGCCGGAGAGCTGCGGGCAGCGGCGGGCAGGCAGCGGTGGCCGCGGTAGTCGCGGTAGTCGCCTCCCGTCCGCCCTCAGAGCCGCGGCCGGAGGAGCGGCCCCGCCGCCCGGCGCGCAGGAGGAGCGCGGCGAGGATGGGAGGTTAGAGCCCGCGGGCAGCCCCGCCGCGGAGCCCGGCAGCCGCCCCAGCCCGCGTTTGTGTCTCTCTTTGGTGTTGCAGGAGGAAATCCTGTGAATGTCATTGGGGGGCGGAGGGGGAGCGCGGCTGGTGACAAGGCGTCGAGAGCAGACGGCCTCTGCGGGGGCAGCGGGGGCAGATCGCATCACAGGCACGCTACAAAGGAGCCATCCCTGCCAATGTCATCGGCCATCGAGAGGAAGAGCCTCGATCCTTCCGAGTAAGTGGCGTCTTTTCTCCCGGCCTCCCCACCCCTCCGTTCATCGCGGTGCCACCGACGGCAAGCTGGCCGGCTTCGTACCGGCCCCGCGTGCCCCTCGGCTGCCACGGGGACTTCTCTCCGGCGGGGGCCGCCGGAGCCCGGGTGCCGGACAGCCCCATCGGGAGGCGGCTGCGGGCGCAGCTCCGGGCCGGGTGCTTCCCGCCGCCTGCGGGTTGCGGGACCCGCTGCGGGGCTCTCATCCAAGCTGAAAGGCGATCGTCGTTCCGGGTTCCCCGGACCTGCCCCGCTCTTTTCGCCGATTATAGCGAAAGGTCGGAGCTGTTATCTGCGGGTGCCCGACTTCCACATTTACACAACGCGAGGCGCTTTGCAACTTTCAAGGGCTTTGCTGGGGGAGGCGTTGCGCAGAGGGCGTGCGGAGGGACCCCACGGTGCAGGTGGTGAGAATTCCCCTCCGCGTTTTTCGTGTTCGTGGAAGGGGCCGACCCGCAGGTCCCGTCCCGCAGCCGGTTGTGTGCAGCCCTCCCGCACATGCAGGCACCGTCCTTGCAAGGGGCAATGGCAACTCGGCTTAAAACAGCGCTGCGCGCCTTCGTAGCTGCAGTTACACCCGTCTGATAAGAGAAAAAGAAAGAAAATCTCCTTTTTCAGACAGCACTTAAAACATAGCTCTTAGTTAAGTTTGGTCGTCCGCGGTTTGTTTCCTGTGATATATTCAAATGCCGTCTCTTGAAGCTGCGATGAGCGCAGGGGAACCATCCCCACTGCGGGTTAAATCAATTCCTGCCGTGTTGCTCTTGATTTTTTGTGTGCTACGTGTTTTTTTTTTTAAATCGTCTATGAGAAATCATCATCTGAACTCCTGGGTGTTGATGTCCCGGTTTGCGCTGCAGCGTTTTGGCAGTATTTATTTGCTTTCCTGCTTGGTGTCCTAATGACTTCGCTGGCATGCAAATATGTGGACATCAAAAAGCCGATGCAGAAGAAAGAAATTCTGTTCCTCAGAAATACGTGTGGGGCTGTTACAGAGCTGCCTTGTGATTCCCAGAACCTGTGAGACCAAGATACTTTGGGGCTGCAATCTCAGGTTTCGC